TTCCCAGAAAAAAAAGAAATGGAGAATGAACGAGGCTCTTTGTGTATCAAATTCCAGAGCACTTGCCTATAATACTTAACCTTTTGAAAGGGACATACCATTCACTCCCATAATGCCTCTTCCTTTTGTAAACAGTCTTGTCAGCCTGTGGTGCAAGTTCTCACTGACACAAAAAGCCACACTGATATCAAATGCTAGTGTAGTTATCGTAACCGCAAAGCCAAAGTTAAAAACAAGTTGCTGAAACAACAGAAGCATCATTTTTGCACTCAATCTAAAACTCATTTACAAACGTCAGTGTTTTAATTTGAGGCTAAAGTTTGTTCTTCAAGACTTTATATATTTAACACCTTTACGTTTACACAGTTAATGCATGCACCTTCTAAAACACTGGTCAGAATAGTTGTAACTGAACAGAAGTAAAATAATTAGCTTTCTTTGTTTGGAGGATGTTAGTCAATCACGTTTGATCCACGCTTTCTTCTCATAAAACTAAGCGCAATACATTTTTAAAGGAAGTCTAATTTGCAAATGCAGGCATATTTAAAATCTGAGTTTATTTACAGAGAAATCATGATATTTGATTTGTAATCTATTTTATTTTAATTTATAAAACAACTGTAGTTATTTTGGAAAACAAACTTTGTTTGTTATGAACATTAGTTTAAACATTGACTGGAAATTATATAATAGTATTATTGATGCAAACCCCACAGTTATGAAACAAACCCACATCTTGTAAACATGCTGATGAGAAGAACAGTTGCTGCAGTGCAGGAATGACTGAGCTCATGTGTGTAATCGGGCCGTAAAGCCGTGTTATTTGGACTGTAGCACAGCGGTTCGAGGGTCCTGTGCCAGAGACCTGTCTAATAGCATTCCATCCGCTGATCCTTCTGGACACACCTCCTTCCCATATCTGTCCATCAGAATACACTCCCTCCTTTCTTTTTCCTGTATCCATCCGTCTACTGTGTGATGCTGAAGGGGCTTTGGGTAATCCCTGCAGTGAAAGGGCAAAAGCCTTTCTCTCTCTCACACACACACACACACACACACACACATACTGACTCATTCTTGGCAGCTTCTCTCTGTTGACTGCTGTTTCACATCTAAAACTTTGTGTTATGGCATTAGCCACTGATGCTGGCCTGTGAGAGTCTGGTGTTATTATTCAAAGGTAAAGTTGGCTGATATATGTTGAATATTTATAGTATATTTTAAGCCACTTTTTTTTTTTGTCAGGATGGTTTTGATGTGCTTTTTATTTGGCATTAAGAAGTGCAGTTTCATTAGGCTTGTCTCACAATTTGTGAGTATGAGGGTCTTAATAGTATTAATAGCATGAAACTCTTATTTACAATTTTTATTCAAAACCGCGTTAGAGTTAGTAAGTTTGATTCATTTTTGTGAATCAGTTCAAACTGCTTGTTTCAGTGAATCGGATTTATTTGTGCCAAACCCACATAAACATTCACAACATTTCCATGTCACTTTAATATATTGAATTTCATATGTTAAAATGTTTTAGTTAAAATACATGTACACTGAAAGACAATTTTTTTCACTCAAAAAATTTATAGCAAATTTCACAAATAATTACAATCTGTAAGTAATACATTGAATTAAAGCGAAAATTTGAAGTACAAAGACTAAAATAGTATTTTCTTGTAAAACATACTCCAAAAATCTTTCATATACAACATCTTTTTTTGCGGTATCGGTAAATATGTCTGTTGATGCAAATATGTTTGTTGTTATGATGATAGATATAAATGAAAGTAGTTATATATTTAACAATTAAATATTGTTTCTGGGAAACATGCCTTAATTATGTTTAACTAGATTTATTAAGTAAGTGATTTAATAAATAAATATAATAAAATCTAAATAGTGTATATATATATATATATATATATATAATATGAATAAATGATTGTTCTTGAATGGCCCAGCCAGAGCCCTGACTTAAACCCAATTGAGCATCTCTGGAGAGACCTAAAAATGGCTGTCCACCAACGTTTACCGTCCAACCTGACAGAACTGGAGAGGATTTGCAAGGAGGAATGGCAGAGGATCCCCAAAGCCAGGTGTGAAGAACTTGTTGCATCTTTCCCAAAAAGACTCATGGCTGTATTAGATCAAGAGGGTGCTTCTACTAAATACTGAGCATTTTTCAGTTTTTCTTTTTTAATAAATCTGCAAAGATGTCAACAATTCTGTGTTTTTCTGTCAATATGGGGTGCTGTGTGTACATTAATGAGGAAAAAAAATTAACTTAAATGATTTTAGCAAATGGCTGCAATATAACAAAGAGTGAAAAATTTAAGGGGGTCTGAATACTTTCCGTACCCACTGTATATATATTGAACTTTGCCTAAAGGATGAAAAATACAAAAAAAGTAGTTGTTTAGCTACTGTATATCACACTGGCCTATTCAGAGGTAGAAAACGTGACTGTTGTGTAGGCAGATTTTCACTGCCTTACCAAAAAGTTTGTTCATTTCTTTTAATCCATTTTCCAGCTAATATTTTTTTTTCATTACCCTCCCTTCTTCTTCTCATATGCCTTCTGGATCGGTTCGTTCACTCTGCTCGTAATTTGATGACTAGCAGCTGCAGATCATTCTGCATGCAAATAAACACCCAGGTTTCCGGAAACATCCAACATTCTGATTAGCATTTCTTTCTTTTTCGCATTCTCTCTTTTCTCACTCCTGCATATTTTAGTTCTCCCTTGCATCCACTTCCTCAGTTTCCACATGCTTCAGTGCCATTATCTACATTCTCTGGAATGTCCATACATGGGTGTCTGCCTGGCCAAACTGAAGCAGTGTCCTTTTTTAGGGCAATTAGAAAGATTCAAAATGGAAGATTCGCTACAGAAAACTGGGGTACACTATTTCATCATTGAAATCAAGACTGCAGAGACTTACAGGTCTGCATGGTTATAGCTTTCTGTTTGAAAACAGACTATTTGCTCTAATTGATGTTTACTCAGAAGTTCTCTGCTTGCTGGAGACACAATCACACTACTGAAGGATGAAGCTGTCGTGACCAGAGCACAGATGCAAATGCTTGGCCAGTCTCGTTCATCCATATATATAAAAATTTAGCCTATTTACCTTATTATTCCATGTTCTTGGTATTATTATTATTAATGATTCATCTTTCACAGTAGTCCAAAGACAAATTTTTTTTTTATTTCATCAGAATATACACTACTGGTCAAAAGTTTGGAAAAAAGTTTTTTTTTTTTTTTTTTAATTTGTAATTTTTTGCTCACCAAGGCTGAAAAAAAAAAAAAAAAAAAATATATATATATATATAGTGAAATTATAAAAATAACTGTTTACTCAATTATTATCAGTGATTTTTGGTGCTTAGATATTAATAATGGTATCAATGTTTTTGCTGCTTAATATTTTTGTGGAAATTTCTTTTCATGATTCTTTGATGAATAGAAAATTCAAAAGAACAGCATTTATTTGAAATATAATTATTTTGTAAAATTATAAATTTCTTTACTGTCCTTTTTAGTCAATTTTGTGCGTCAGGTATCCTTTCTTTCTTTCTTTCTTTCTTTTTATTTCTGAAGGATCATGTGGCACTGAAGACTGGAGTAATGATGCTGAAAATTCAGTGTTGCACCACAGGAATAAATTACATTTTAAAATAAATAGAAAAAATAAATAAATAAATAAAACCATTCTTTTAAATGGTAATTCTGTTTTACAATATTACAGTTTTAAATGTGTTTTTTATCGAATAAATGCAGCCTTGGTGAGCATAGAAAACTTCTTTCAAGCATATTACAAAATCTTAATAATTCCACACTTTTGACTGGTAGTGTATAAACAATGATTTTCTTTTTGGCCGATGTCATGAACTCTCCTCCAACCTTCTGACTTCGTTCTGGTAATTAAATAAATTCTCAAAAATAAAATAAAATCAAGCCCTGCCCAACATTTTTTTGTTAAAGATTCTGATTATAGAAGTAAAATGTGTGTCAAACATCATTTCACATTGGCTTTAACGTGTACTCTTGCGTTACTGTGATATAATGTGATATTTTCCGGTAAGACGGCAAGATTCTCTTCAAACAGTTGCGCCACCATGACAATACGGTAGTTGATCTAAAAGAGAAAACGGGTAAAGGAAGACAATTTATGCTAATGTCTGCTCTTGCACGCATGCAGTCATCCTGAGAATGCACCGTTCTGTGCTATGAATTCTTTCACAATGCTATGCCACGTGAAATTGAGCTTGCATAACTAGAGGTGTCTGCATAGAGTATGTTCTCTTGGCATCTTCATTAGTTTGCCATCTCTGTTGACTGTCAATAGCTCCGTTTAGTCTGCTGTTTTCCAGCCAGATACACTTCACACACCAGACCAGCACGACTGGAGGGAAAGACGAACAGCTCGAGATGAAGCAGAGGGCTAGAGAGATGAATCTCGAGAGAGAGAGAGAGAGAGAGAGAGAGAGAGAGTGGGTTGAGGCAGATTTCTCATCAGTGGGCAGATTTTCTTCATGGCCGGAGACCAACACATCAAGAGCCAAGAGCAGATGGCCTTACAATATTAAAATCTCTCCACTTCTCTCCATTTTCTCTTCGTCTGTACCACCTCTCTCATTTTTACCTTCTCCTATGAGCTCTATGCTGTCCGAAGTGGTCCACTCATTCTTTCCGCATGTTTACCTTTGTGAATGTTAATAGACTTGCCTGGACGTTTGTTTTGCTCAATCAGAGATGTTCGTGAAGCACTGAATTGTGTTTATAATTGGCCCTTATGTATTTTTTGGACTGTGCTGTAAAGAGAAACTCAGCAGTGGCCTTGGTAACATCAGTTTTCCTGTGGAGATGCTGGCTTGTTTGGCAAATGAGACAGGAGCCAGATCTGACAGCCAGCGCCGGGCTTAAAGCTGTCCTGATGCCTCAGTTCATGCAGAGCAACTCCTCTTCTCTCTGCTAATGGCTCTCTCCTTCTCTCCCTCAGGGCATCTGGCGTATTCCAGTAGATGAGATCGATCGTCCTGGTAGTTTTGCATCTCATATGAACAGATCCATCGTGCTCTTGCTGGATGTTCTATCTCAACTGAAAGATCACCACACTTTACTTAAAATCTCCCTCATGCTTCAGAGAACCCCTGATCAGGGAAAGTAAGAGATTGCAAATATTTAATTTGTTTATTTTGTTCAGTTCATTTAATTAAATGTGCATATTTATAACAGGAAACAGAGTGAAGTAGCCTCTTGAAATGTAGTGTTGCTAAATGCTTGTCAACTATTCAGTTACCCTTGTCTTGCATGTTTGTTATGAATGTTGTTTGAAATTTTTCAAATATTCTTTGAAAATGTATAGCATTTGAAGCATTTAAATGCAAGGACATATCATATCTTTTTATGTTGTTTGTTATAGGAAGTACTTGCGAGATGTGGACCGACAAGTTTTGGCCAAGCGAGCATTTTTCTTCACTGTAAAAGTGCTGGAAGACAATCTGGATAAACTCACAGGGGTATGTAAACTACATTCTCGTTTGTTTTGTTTTTGTTTGTTTTTTCGACGGTTTTGTTTTTGTGTGAATTCCAAACGGCTTTTTTGCGCCCTTGAAGGGCACTTCGGGCCATTTGTAGGGATGTTCCAAACGAAAGTGAACAACTGAATCCCTTCACGAAGAGCCCTTGCAGAAGTCCGTTAGCGAAGGGAACATGCGATGGTCACTTCACAGAAGTGATTTCCGTTTGTGATCATGTGATCTTCGGTTAGTGGATCTTGCAATGCTTTTTAAAGTAAAGTTGGGGTTGATTTCGACTTCACACACAAACGTAAGTAGAATAGGCTAATTAAATTTGTCTATTTTAATGTAAGACCAAATATTTTTCGTCAGTGATAGAAAAAGGATTTACGATGGTAGTGTAAGCAAGTTTAAGCAGGTTTAGTTTGAAAAAGTTAAATAGTAAATAAGACACGAGTAGACAATATTTGAATAAAATAATAATAGTAATAAATATTTATTTGCAACAACTGATGGAGTGCTGAATGCTGCACGCACGCGCAGCGTTGTCAAGGTAACATTTGGTGAGACATTCCCTTC